CCGGCTGATTCTAACTTATTCTAACCTCTTCTAGACATTCCAAATGCTGGCAAAAAGAATTGCCTTTTGAGTGTTACAGTTCTTATAAAAATAAAGCAGTAAACAAAATCCTGAGTTTATCTCATTGGTGGACTTAAGCAATTCTGTAGCAAATAAATCCATTGAAAGAGCTCCAGGTCGGGCTCGGTGGCTCAGCCTGTAATCTCGTGCTTTGGGAGGCTGAGGTGAGTGGATTGCCTGAGCCTGCGGGTTTGAGACCCGCCCGGGCAACTTGGTGAGACCTCATCTCTACAATAAATCAAAAATTAGCCGGGCGTGGTAGCGCACACCTGTAGTTCCAGCTACTTGGAAGGCTGAGGCTGAAGGATCACCGGAGCCCAGCAAGTCGAGGCTGCGGTGACCGGGAACGGCCACTGCACTCCAGTCTGAGTGACAGAGTGAGACTCCGACTCTAAATAAATAAATAAATAAATAAATAAATTTTAAAAAATCATTTCTCCTAAACAAATGGTAGGTTTGCTTTACTTCAGGGATGTTTGTCTTTATAGAAGTGTATTCATTGATCTTACTGATATTTGAGTAGGTTTTTATACCATGATGGGGAAGAACTTGGGAGGCTAAAAGGGTTTGTTCTCCCTCCTGGGGTCCACACCAAACAATTTGGCGAATCATTTATTAAATCATATGCAAATTTTACCTTAGACAACATTTGTCTTTTTCCTCATTAATAACTTTCGCCTGATCTGCTTAGAGTTGCTTAATTATAAATAAATATAATCCCAGTAGCAATTGGCCTTAATCTCAAGAGTTCAGAATATTTAATGCATACTACCTGGCAGGGAGATGGTGACCTCATTCAGTAGGTAAGGAGTCTGAGCCCTGTGGAGCTAAAAACCTGCTCATGGTCACATAGCACAAGCAGAAGAAAATCTTGCAACTTGGACTAGATCCCAGTTGCTTGGTAACTGAGCTCACTGTTCTTGTCGCAAGCAAATGAGAGCATGAGAAGTAGCAACCTACCAACTCACCTTTTCTATATTAATACTTCCCAACCAAAACAAACAAGTTCCATGTGTGAAAGCATTTGAGTTTCCTAATAGTACTTTCTAGCTTCTCGCATCAAACATCTTGATAATTAACAAAGGGAAAATTTTTTTTTTTTTTTTTAGTGAAGTCTCACTCTGTTGCCCAGGCTGGGGTGCAGTGGCACGCTCATGGCCACCCCAGGGTCGACCTGCTGGGCTCCGGCAATCCTCCCACCTCAGCCTTCTGATTAGCTGGAATTCGTAACTATAGGAGTGCACTACCATACCTGGCTAATTTTTTTTTTTTTTAATTGTAGAGAAGAGATCTCGCCAAGTTGCCCGGGCTGGTCTCAAACCCACAGGCTCGGGCAGTCCACTCACCTCGGGCTACCAAAGTGCTTGGATTACAGGCTGAGCCACCAAGCCTGGCAGGAAAAATCTTAAATACCTAGCCTGCAGTAAACCTTTAAATCTGATTTTCAGTGACAGCCAAGAAGCAATCACTGCCTTTCTCTTTATTGTTTCATTTGTATAAGTGCAGCATAGGCACTGTATTGCCTCATCTTTACCTTTTGGAATTTGAACTGACTACAGAATTTTTCTCTCTAGATTGGACATTTCTTTAAATGACCTAAGGAAGAGATCTTAGGGTTGAACAGAAATGCTTCCTGAATCACCTTTACATTGATCTTTCAACTGCAATTTGAGTCTTCCCAAGAACAAAACTCTCACAAGTTTTTTAAGAGAGTGCCTCCCTCTCTGCACCTTTCTGTTGGGCATTATGTCTCAGCATCTACTCTCCTATGATTATGCTTTGGGCTTAAAGATGGACCCTGTTGCTCCTCTGTCATCTCTTGTCCACTTACTGTATGCAAGTAGTGACAGGCATTAATTATAATTCTTTGAATAACAACACAAGACATAAGACCCTCTGATACAGAGGAAGAACTTGAAGCTGAAAGCAAGTGTTACTTATCAAAACTACACAGCTAATTCGGTGGCCAAATCAGGCCTTGAACTCAAGTCTGCCAGACTTTCAAAACAGATTATTTTAGATGCACCATGCTACATCCCACTGAACCCAACCCAGTGCCTTGTACAAGGAAAAACCCTAGAACCTTTTATTAAATGGTAAAATGAAGTAACTACCAGGAGAAAATAAGCCTGATACTACCCTCGCTTCTTCCAGGGCTTGGTGGGAAGGACTCTGAAGCACAATGAAGGAACAACTTCTTCAGGAACAGACAGGATTTAGCTCTATATTAGCTTCTACATAACCTCTTAAGATTTGGTATGGGACAATGTTAGAAGCTTGGGGAAAGCCCTTCTGGGGACACTAGAGTGAGTAGGGAGGAGGGAAGAAGTCAGCCTGTGGCCAGGACCGCATAGCAGCCATCCTAAGGGAGTGGATGGTAACAGTGCCTTCTGTGCATAAAACACTGTGCCATTCCCAAAGCATTTTCACGTTCTCTTGATTCTCGTGGTAACCCTGTCTCAAAAAGGTAGGGTGGTAGCAGGCATTGTGGCTAATGCCTGTAGTCACAGCACCTTAGGAGGCTGAGGTGAGAGTATTGCTTAAGCCCAGGAGTTTGAGATCAGTCTGGGCAACATAGCAAGACCTCATCTCTGCCAAAAAAAAAAAAAAGAAAAAGAAATAGCTGGGTGTGGTCCACGCACCTGTAGTCCCAGCTATTCCAGAAGGTGGAAGGATTACCTGAGCCCAGGAGGTCAAGGCTACAGGGAGATGTGATCATGCCACTACACATCAGCCTGGGCAGCAGAGTGAAACCCTGACTCAAAAAAGTAAAAAAGTTCAGAGTTTTCACTGGTAAACTTAAAAGCATTATTAGTGCCATCCCATACCTGATACTCACCTGGAATGACAGTGGTCGGGGTCTCTAAATCAGGTTTCTGACCTAAGGACCTCTTTCCTCTGCCCGTTTACTTGCAGC